GACTACCTGGTTGTGGTCCGCGAGATGAAAGTCACCAATGGTTAGAGAACTTGAACGACATGGCTCAAAATCGTTTGCAATGGCGCAGGTGCATCCACTCTTTGAGCTCTCTCAAATCCTAATCTTCTGGATTCGTCAATACCTCTACCTTTGTCTTTATAATCTTATCTCACTGAATTATATTTTTTGAATAATATCTTCGAACTCTAGTCTTCTTTATTAACATTAATACCTCTACTATCTTTATCACTATGGGATTTGATTTGACATTTGCGTCTCTGTGCTAATAATGTGGTATGGCAACATGAACTTATGTACATACGTACGAAGTTCTACGTTGCGACTGACTGACTGACTGACTTTATTCCGATTTGGGAGAAAATCGAGTAAATCATTGTCAGTAAAACAATATAACAATAATAATAATAATGATAATAATAATAACAAAGTCGCGAAATATATTTTTATTATACTGAATTATTAATTTACCTATACAAGCTGCCGCCGCAACAGCAGCTGCTGTTTTAGCCTGTTCTTCATCAGTTGGATTCAAATAATCCGATGATTGACTTGAATAAGGCATAGATGATGAATCCGATGACGATATAGGCTTTATTGAATTATTGTTACTATTGCTATTAATATTATTATAATTATTATTATTGTGATTATCTGATATATGCGAAGATTCTCTAGTTGAATAACTACTTTGAGTACACGTAGTCGTAACAGTATTTATACTCGATGTTGTAGCATTAGTATGATTAACATATTTCATATTTGATAAATAAGATGAAGAATCTTGACAAGAACATGATTCATTATTATTTAAAGTTACATTATTAATAGTATTATTATTATTATTACTATTACTGGGATTAAAACAATTAGATTCGGCATCCAATTCATTGGATTTCATTTGAACATTGGACAGAATCACAGGGCAACACTTGAAAAGGAGGGAAAAAAACGGATTGAACAAATAAAATACGAGAATAGTAATAAATACTTTTATGTAATAATTGTAAAGTCACTACCAATCAATTAATGACACTTCTTTATATAGAGATGTTACAAAATTTCAACCAGCTCAAATGAGATCTTTCAACAAACACATGACTCATGTTGTGGTGTGTGCTACTTATACGAACAATATAAGTAGTATAAGAAAGAGACGTGAAAGAAGAAGTCTCACGGTCAGAAGAGGAAAACGGAAAGCAAATGGAGCAAAAGCAAGAAGTAAATGGAGTACCAACAGGAAAGAAAGGAAGCAACAACAGGAATGGAAGAAGGATGGAGCGTTGGAAGTCACGACTCAAAGATGGTGTGCAAATAGAGTATTCAATGTAATGTTTTCGTTTTTAATTGACTCAGAGTGTAAATTTGCATAATACAATATTCCTCGCCTGCCTCTGTCTTCTCAATGTAAAGTTAGTCAGATAAAAAAACAACATTTCTGAAGATGACCGATTACAAACTTAGCAATCACACAGTCCCAATAAATTCATGTCGCAACTTGCACTAGAAGCTTGGTTAGGAACATTACCTACGATTACATGGAACACTATTATTCTACAACAATCTTATTATGTGAACTGAAAGTATAGGCATCGTTAATTTGTCTCATGTATGTATGTGAATATATATAGCAGTTTAACTGTTCCAATGAAATCAGTAACCTTTTGATGTACATGTAAACAAGTCAATTATACTATTTGAACATCATTAAACATGGTTAAGTAAAGGAAAATCAATATTCCACTGCGGATCAAAATGAAGTCATTTCTTTCGGCAGACTATGAAAACTTAGAATTCTAGAACTAAACAATCCAACCTATTCATTAATTAATATATCTAAATATTAAAACTGCACTGAAACATCATCTTCAGTTACTTTGCTAACCGTGCAAGATCAGTTTTTTCATTTAAACACATAAACAGTGGTACACATTGAGCACATAAAATTTTTATGCGCCACACAAATCACTGAATTTGTGACAGGGGTGAGATACTGACTAGAAGCCCAAAGTAGGATAGGTTTTCTTCGGGAGCCATTCCCAGACTTTTTATCCAAACCCACATACAGGACAATGGCGCAGCATCAAGGGATGTAATTCCATAGTAGCCGAAATAAAAACAATAGGTTCATACAGACGTCAGTAACGATTATCAGGCCAGAAAATATTCTACATCTCTCAGCACGACTGAATCTAACAGTCAATATTCTTACAGATTTATGTCGTGTTATTTCGGTTACCTATAGTATTATCCAAACCATACTTCTATGTTAGTTAGCGTAGAAAGTGGAATTTAAAGGGATAAAAAAAAATGAAATTTTAAATAATTACTAACATCATTCATAATACTAAATTTTATCATGATCGAAGATAAGAATCAGAGATCACGTGGTAGGTATTTAACTTTGAACGAACGGATGAAAAGGACAGTGCCCATGTTTATTTAAGATTATATTTTAAACCTAACTTTTGGTCAGCCACAAAAGTGTCACTAAACAAAATATTATTTTTAAAAATTTCAGAGTGTGGGTGAACAACCAAAGCTGCAGTGAAAAGAGTACTATAGTTAGTCTGAGTAGTTAGTATCTACTGAGTAATAAATATTGAGCAATATATATTTCCAAAACTCTTACCTTAGAATTTTGAGTAATGGAAGTTGAACGTGCGAATGCGGCGGCGGCAGCAACTGCTGCAGCTGCAGCCGCTGATACTGTTGGCAAGCTGGCTGCTGCTGCCAATGCTGATTCATGAACACTAACGCCTTTTGATTGATTCAATAGAAGATTGTTATTGATATCTTGAGGAATTGTACCACTTTCAGATATATTAGTGGAACCAATAACTGGTAGGTGTTGTGCAATGTAGCCAGCCGCAGCTGCTGCAGCTAATACAGCTGTTGTAGAAGAGGCAACAGAAGTCGTGGCTGTTGTGATGGCAGTAACTGGTGTAGTTGTTGTAGTGGATATTTTGGTTTTACAAGCTTCTTTGTGCATTTCCGTTGTAATTTGTTGATGCTGTTGCTGATCATGTGTTTCTAAGGATGGTTGATTGATGTGAAGCACGCCATATGACGGAAAATATGTTGCAGGTGCAGTTGATATTGTTGAATTAGCTGGTAAAACACCAGTTACAACAGCACGATGTTGTGTAGAACAAGCAATAGCGGCTTGAGATTGAATCAAGCTATTATTACTGACATTACAAGCGAATTGAGACAAAGGAATGGTTAACAGAGTAGGAGCATGTGAATGACTTGAACTGGTAGCAAGCAGATGATGATGGTGATGTTGCGAAGCATCATGTGGAACAATATGATAAGTTGCATGAGGTGCTGACAAAGCAGTTTGAGGATGTAGCATATTCGGATGTTGATTAGGATCAGGACTAACTGTGATAACGGAAGAACAAGGAGTAATATGAGGTGCACTTGTTATTGAAACAAGCGAAGAATGAGTATACAATGTAGGCTGTCCTGTGGATGTATTACCAATAAGACCAACAATTGAATGAGAAGATGCCACAGGAATATAAGCATTGCTCACGGGATTTAGAATCGGATCGTTTGGTGATACAATTACAGCCCTATTAATAATAGATGACTGACCAAATGGAGATATATTATTAGTCGGATTTGAAATATTTATCAAAGAAGGATCAAAATGTTTAGTGGATACATTTGTATTGATAAAACCATTTTCTTGTAAGTTGGGTTGACTAAAGAAACCAGGATTTAATGTTTCCTGAGATGTAGTGACATGTCGATATTTACAGTTTGATCCTCGGTTGCAAGTTCCATTGGTAAAGTCCTATACAAATAAAACAATAAAAACGAAAAAGGTTACGGAAAATAAACTAATAAAGTAATGTCAGTCAGTCAGTCAGATGCAACGTAGAACTTCGTACGTAAGTACATCAGTTCATGTTGCCATACCACATCAGCACAGAGAAGTAATCGTCAATTCAAATCCAATAGTAGAAGAGGTAGTAAGGGAATTAGAAATAATCGGAGAGGTTAGGATTAGAAGATACTATTCAAGAAGTATGATTCAGTGAGAAAAGTTTAGAGAGTCGAAACTAGAGGGGTTGAAGAATCCAGAAGATTAGCATTTGAGAGAACATAGAGAATAAATGCACCGGCGCCATTGCGAACGATTCTGAGCCATGTCATTCAAGGTCTCTAACCATCGATAAAGTAATGTGATTATTAAGCATGACTAGTGGATATTTTCCAAAGCACTAGAAATCTATTTTTATTAAAGATATTGTAGTGAATGAGAACACAGGCGACGGCAACCGAATTGTATTTAACGAAAATTACAAAGTTACTTAGTAAAATCGGAAAACCATATCGTAAATCGTTCATTTGCAAAATATCAGTTCATCATATCGAACTGGACTGTTCCTGTTGCAAACAACATCAATCCATTGTCACTATTCATGAGTTTCATACAAATTCCATTGTGCTCTAACACTTCTTTTCTTGATCTTCCCCCATCTTCTGCTGCCAGACATTACGTTGACACTCACGTCATATACTACTTATAAGTAGCTCGCACCACAATATTACATTTGTGATAAATGCCACAACGGAGCATTGGACACAATACATAGTTGGTATATGTAATACTTTTACATAGGGAAAAAATGAATATCATTTAATCTTTGTCGATAGTATTTCTGCAATACAAACGAATTCTGTTCTGTTATCAACCAGTGTGTAGTAGCACTATCATGAAGTACAGATTATATGAAGAATTCTAAATGATCGCGAGATGAAAGCATAGACGAAGTAGAATTATACAAAATAGTGTTGATTTGTTCTATACTGCACTGAAATAGCACAGACAAGGGAGATTGTGTGAAGTTTAACGACAATGAACATAGATGTGATTGATGAAGCTTTAAGAAGGAAAAGGAGACAAGATAAAAATATTTTCTACTCACAGACACATGATGGCATCTCTGTATTGTTAAGGTCGATTTCGATTTATATCAATGGGTTTCGGTCTAAGAATTCAGTCAGTCAGATGCAACATAGAACTTCGTACGTAAGTACATATTTGAAGACTACAGTTGTTACGAAAACTTGGATCGGATTCTTCAGATATCAGAGGTGGGTGTTATGTTGATATGATTAATCAGATCTTTATGCTACTTTACTCACAATGACCAAAACTTAACTTCAAAGTAGATGGTTTAGTGTGATATATGATTCCACTGAAGCCTTATTACATGTGATAAGAGTTTAAAACTAGCTGAAATTTTACAACTACGCCAAAAAGATAATAGGATGGGATGAGGCCATTAAACGAACTACATGTTAACATTAATAGTTTTTTAGAAATAATTTACTTGTGTCTTATTACCTTGCAAATTGGAGTTTTTTCATCAAACGTATTTGAAGCAGGACGATATGACCACTGTACATCGTTGGGTAAATAACCAGTGCGTCGAAATATTTCCTCTTCCTCTTTTGTATAGTGTAAAAATTTGCAGTTTGGTCGGCGACATGTTGAATTTTGAAAATCATGGCAGAAAGTTTTGTCAAATCGACTACAATAAAAATAATACCGGAGATTGATAACTAATATATATCAAGTTTCTCGGTATCATATCATAACGAAATAAAAATTTTTGAGAAAGTAAAAGCTCAAAAATGCTACACTATATTTCTAGAGAAAAATGTTTCTAAACATCTTCTAAGTGGTCTCTCTATGTTCATTAATTTTATTTCGGTTCCGAATGTTTACTTTTATCCTCTTGATTTTCTAAAAACACATGAACAAAATTTTGTGAGATAAATAACCATACGTTGTAGATAGTTTTGTTTCGGAACGCAAATTTCATACCATAAAAAAAGATTTTTTCGAAAACTCCATAAATAGCAAATTAATCTATTAAAAAATGATGAAACGATGCATTTAACGTCAACATTGTTTAACATACGTTCATGACAATATCAGAGTTTTGACATGTTAATGTTCAAAAGCATTTGATGAAATAAAACATACTTACAGAGATCAATTTGTTAAATGAGAAAACTTACCTTTAAAAACCTTAAAGACTAAGTTAATGGTCTACACACATTTACATCCCACCAGGTACTGGAGCCAAAGTTTAGAGAAGGATAAGATGAACACTTACGATAACAAATTGAAGTAACATTGCCAACAGATTAGGAAGGAATAATGTATTCACCGACAAGTTTCTTTTACAAAGGTTTACAGGTTTATCGACTGATTTAGTTTGTTTACTCAATAGGACTACGAAACAGTTCATATTGAAACTCTGGGTCAACTACGTTAATTTCAAAAACCGGAAGGAATCGACGGCCACAAGAAGTAAAAGTTGAAGCTTCGTACTCGAATTTTCGTTTGATTAATGAATTGCATCAACATCAAGCTAGCTTATCACCCAGTCAACAACAACGTGAAACTTCGTTCGTATGTACATCATATCAAGCTACCATACCACATTAGCACAGAGATGAAACAGTAAATTCAAGTCACGGTAGTAGAGGTAGTAGAAATATTAGCCGTAATGGAGATTAGAGTTCGAAGTCATTATTTAAGAAGTATAACCCAGTGAAATAAAATTTTAAAAAAGGATGAGGTGACGATAATTTCGCAAGATTAGAATTCGAGAGGACACAAAGGATGGATGCATCCGCACCATTGCAAAAGATTTTTAGACATAACGTTCAGAGTTTCTCACCACCCGCTACTATCATCTCGTGGACCCCGATCTGGTAGTCTACACTTATTAACATGGCTCAGTCCACCTGTCAGCGACTGCATGGATATGTACCACGTTTTGGTTTAGCCACTCTTAGCTTTCTTCGAACCCACTCCTACATCACAAAACATCGGTCGTCGAGGTAGTCGCCGGTTGGGCATACGTAACAAACGTTTCTACCACTTCAACTGATGAAGCTTTACTACTTCATCAATTGATCTAACATCTTTACCTAATACCCTTTTCAAACACCAGAACTGCTTACTCGGTGGTTTCAGGATATTACAGCAAGGCTACGAAGACGCACATGATCGAATACTAGCAACCTATGAATATCCTCTACTCTCAGTGGCCATATTTCATTCCTCTATAGTAAGACGTGGAGAACTGATACGCAGTAGACTCGTCTTTTGGTTAGCAAACGGATATCTCTCCTATACCATAAATGACACAGATTGGAAAAAGCCAATCGAGCCTTCTGTATTCATGCCAAAATTTTGTTAGACACCAGGCCATCGGCACTGATGGAATAATGTAGCAGTAACGTACGTAGACAATTATGATTTTAGTAAAGGAATTTTTGAAGGTGGCGGAGTTTATAGCTTCAAAAAATAACAGGCAGGCAATGGTCATTATGTATGTAGAGCATGTGTACCATAGAGGAATTTTCTAAAACTAAGATCATTATCAAAAGTCGAAAGTAAAATCAAAGAAATTTAACGGTTGACCAAGTAAAAACAGGCAACCTTACTACTAAAAATTGACTCGCCAATAAAATTTTCATAATTAATAAAAAGTTAAGGACTTCTTGAGGGAAAAAGCAGAAAATTTACCAGATGGTAAGGGAAATCTATGTTGTGGGTCATAAAACTTTCGAATAACCTAAACACAGTGATTACCAATTTGCCTATTTTTGCCTGTATTGCATAGTATAACGTCAAAGGAAAAGATTTAGTCGATTGGATAGTTCGTCTCACGAAAACTGATGACAAGGTGTAGCTGGCATCATGTATCGATAAATATCCAAATTTATAGATACAAGACACTGACAAGTATTCTAAACGGACAATAGCGACCCATTACCTGTGTAATAGTGTATCAATTTAATTGGATTTTTCTAGGCACAGTACGACTATTATGAGTGCACTGAAAGAACAAAGCAACAATACAAGTCCGAACCACCTAAAAACTCCAACTTTGGCTTTACAGTTGTATCCTGAAAATATGAAGAAACATTTGAAGCTACAGTGAAAGTGGTCACAATTAGAATTTGCTACATTATTATAAAGATTTCTTGAAAATTTGGATTAAAGGTCAGGAACGGTAAAAATTTGTCCAAAACAGTACTAAGCCGCTAATTTTCTAGCTGGCAACTGTCTACGTAAAAAAAGAGTCTACGGTGAATTTAATGACCATTATTCAGTAAAATGAACAGGGACAGGTAGTAACAGCTGATTTAATTGGCAGGAACATGTAGTGCATATACCCGAAAAATCTATGCAAAACTCACCGTAATCTTTCACACTCTTCAGAAGATGGATGTTTGAACTTGCATTTTTTACCTCGTTTACAGACGTTTCGCAAATAGTCTCGGCAAACGGATTGGTCATCACATATGCTCGAACAACCAAGACGACTTTCCGGGCCAGAGAACATTCTTATGATAAAAAATTACCGAATTTAGAAAAAGAGAAATTCGAAACGCTATATGAAGTGGTAGCGAAGATCCATGAATATTCAGGCGAAAATGCTTGCCCAAAAAGAAAATACTGATGTGAAATTTTTGAATATACCGCTTTGCACGTTAAAGTGCGCAGATATAAACTGTCCAATGTACCTCTTTAAGTAGTTCCTAAATAAGGTTTCGGTTCAAAGTCAGTGTATAACGACCATTTTTCGCAATTCTTAAGTTAAGTGCTCGAAAAATTAGCCTTAACCTAGAAAAGTGAAACTTTGGAAAAACTCGAATATATGTGATTGCTATGAGAAATCTTGTCAGTAATTTAAATAGTCCAAAGAATTTTATTGATACGTATTGGGAGACAGTCATTTCAGAGAATCGAAGGCGTCGACTTATTTTAGAACGCTTTGGCCCTAGTCAGTCTATATCATTAACGAAATTGTCACTAGTACTAACGTCATTTAGGAAAAACTTTTCTAGGTTTCTGGACAATACATGTTCCTAACTCAAGAGAGCAGATTGCCTGGAGTTTAGCATGTTGTTCAAAACCAGTTCGCTTCCTGGCATTCTTGAGATTACGTAATGAGTGAAATTGTTTCCATCATTGATGAGTCAAACATGTCGTCCACACTTAGACATCCCTGTAACATCGACAATATTTTGGAACTTGAATGTAGTTTCAAACCTGTTGATAAGCATCAGGGCAACTTCCTTCATTCTCCTTTTCATGTTTTGATGTATTCAAAACAGCCAACTGCATAAAATCTGACTAATATAAGCGTTAGTAAAAACTGTGGGCATTTCGCAGATGTAATGACTACTTTAATATTTACCAAGCTGCTAATTTCCTTATGTTTACTGTCATTTACATAATTTTCACGTAAATTAAGGCAAACTAACGTGAATTGTGGCAGCACTTTTGCTTCCCTTCATTTACCATGCCCGTGGAATATACTCTGTACGGGAGCAAGATCTTAGTGGGTTCATTTCATTTGTGAAGATGAAGGATTATGAAACTACCAAGGGAATATGAAAGGCTATTACTTACTCACTTGCTTACATACGCCAGTTACCCCCATTGCAGTAAAGGCCACCCACCAGTTTTCTTCAGCCAACTTTGTCCTGGGCTTCCCTCTCCAGTTCTGTCCAATCTATGTTCATTCCTCTCATATCTTTCTCTATTTCTCGGCGTAATATGTTCCTCGGCCTTCCTCTTTTCCTTTTGCCTTGAGGGTTCCATGTGAGGGCTTGTCTCGTGACGCAGTTAGGTGCTTTCCACAATGTGTGTCCTAACCACATCCACCGCTTCTTTCTGTCTTCCTCCTCCACTAGAATCTGGTTTGTTCTCTCCCACAGTACGTTGTTGCTAATAGTGTCTGGCCAACGAATCCGAAGTATTTTGTGTGGACAACTGTTAATAAACACTTGTATCTTCTGGATGATGCCTTTCTTAGTTCTCCATGTTCCCACTCCATACAGCAGAACTGCCTTGAAATTTGTATTGAAAATCGTGATTTTGGTTTTGGTTGAAAGTTGTTTGGAGTTCCAGATATTTTTCAACTGTAGAAATGCAGCCCTTGCTTTGCCAATCCGCGCCCTCACATCTGCATCGGATCCACCTTGATTGTCGATGATGCTGTCCAGATATGTAAAGGTGTTAACATCCTCCAAGGCATCTCCATCGAGAGTGATTTGGTTTGGTGCATGTTGTGTTGCATTGGAGATTTCTGCTTTATCCTTTATGTATGTTGAGACCTACTGATGCAGAGGCTGGTGCTACACTGGTCGTCTTCTCTTGCTTTTGTTATTGCGTGTGCGACAGAAGAGCCATGTCATATCGAAATTCCCTTTTTATTAATGTAGTCATTTATTTTACTCTCCTCAAATTAATCTTGATTTTCCCTAGTTAGTTGCTTTGGAAATGATAAAAAATTGAATTCTGAAACAGGTATCGATATTGTAATATGTTGAACGTGTCCAAACCTAAGCTAATTGATATTATTCAAACTTGATAAATTCACATATACTGACTGGAAAGTAATCTCCCCTGTTCGCGTGTGGTAATAAGTATATCCCCAAAGTAAATGAGTGTTTTTATCTTCAATGGTGATGCTGACCTGAATTGTTTTAGTGGAAGTAATCCGGCTGAGGATATTCAGTCACGCTTTCGCACCAGACCATTGTTGGGTACGACATGCAACTCATCTCCAAATATTACATGTAAGCTTAGTTCATTCACTCAACATTCGAAACATCAGTTAAATATGCTTTCGATTCTTCTAATTTCTGACTCCTGGTTTGTTTTGTCGGGTATTATTGATCTGAAACCTGGTATGGAATAATATTTTCAACTCAAGATATCTGTAACATCCCTAGATGAAACATTTGAACGATAGTCTGCTGATCTTATTCGATTTAGTGATTATTAACCCCGATTTTTTACAGTTTCCCTAATAGTCATTTTTGAAGTACATGTTTTCCGAAATGCCGAAGATAGATCAATGATATTAATAACTACCTTAACTCTAAAAATCCGTAAAGATAAGTGGGTTTTAGAAAATTTAACTAACAATCTGGTTCTTAAAAAGCCTGTCATCGTTGTCAATAAAGTTGATGTAGAGTGGTGAAATCCATTCACTTGATTGTTCCACAATGATTCGTAATGTTGGCCAGTACATGATCGATCCTTACGAAATCCAGCCTGTTGATCTCGAATTTGCGCGTCTAAGAAGTCCTCCATCCTGTTTGACAATACCCTGTTGAAGACTTTTCCTGGTATTTAGAGAAGAGTGATACCTCTGTTGTTCTCACACTTGCTGAGATCGCCTTTTGATATTTTGATGAGAAATCCTTGTAGAATTATTTCGCCGGTGGCTGTCCTAATTGCGTCCAATAGAAAC